GTAGTAAATGCCAGCATATAAATTACTTTTTGAAATACGTTTTCCCAGGTCTGCAGGCTACTCAGTGTTTCAATGACACAAATCCCTACATAAGCAAAAGCTGAGTGTTCATGCTGTGTTATAAAAGAGCCCCTCGAAGGAAGAAAGATGTAACACTCTTGAATTGAAATGCAGCTTGCTTTTTTGGAGGCAGGAGGATCATTTCCAGGGTTGACAGATTGCAAAGGTTTTATAGTTGCGTCAGGCAACTGGGGTATTCTTCTAGCTCTTAAAAATGGAGCAGAGAGGAGGAAATATGCTGAATCTCTTGATCTGTAAAATTATTCAGAATTTTGACATTTGAAAAAATAGTGTACTCATTCAGTTCTCTTACCTTTGGGGCTATTAAAGAGTATCAGTCATACCTCATATCTTTTCACAGCATGTAGAAATGATTTTATTGCGTTTTGGTTTATTACTGACAGTGCAGGACTCCCCCTTAGAGTCAGGGCCATGCTCCTAGGACAGAGGCCCGCGTCTCCCTGTCCTTCCCGTGTGGGGTGACTCGGCAATGCTAGTGTGGATGCATTTCAATAAAGCAATGGCATTTCCATCTTGAGATACAGAAAACTACGTCCTTGCCTATATGTAATGAAAAATAAAAGCATGTGTAGGACATAACAAAGTAGGAAGATAAAATTCACATAGAGATTAAACATAGTATCTAAACTTTTGCTTATCCATGGCAAATTCTCAAAGTCGCAGATTATTAAAGGGATTAGAAGCATAAATGGGGGGCGCCTAGGTGGCTCAGTCGTTAAGCGCCTGCCTTCGGCTCAGGTCATGGTCCCAGGGTCCTGGGATCGAGCCCTGCATCAGGCTCCCTGCTCTGTGGGAAGCCTGCTTCTCCCTCTCCCACTCCCCCTGCTTGTGTTCGCTCTCTCGCTGTGTCTCTCTCTCTGTCAAATAAATAAATAAAATCTTAAAAAAAAAAAAAGAAGCATAAATGGGCTTGTGAAGATCTTCAATCCTTAGTTAGCGAGTTAACAAATACTTTAGGTGTGACCAGCAGGATTCTTGACGTCCCCGGCGGTCAGGAAAGGGATGAGTTTTACCCGAGAGGCCTGTGGGTTCTGTGTCCTGGCCCAGCTTCTGTGTGCTCCGAGCTCTCCGTCCTGCTGGGCACACTGGCTCTCCCTGGGGGATGACCCAGCGTCTCTCAGAAAGTAGCTGGGATGCTGTGATTTACAATCAGCAGCATGTATTCGGTCTTCATCTCTGGCACAGAGACTCCATAAACACGCAAACAGACAGGAGGCTGAACAGGGCGGTGAACACGGAGGTCTGGGGGAGAGCGGTGCCCCTGGGAGGGTGCGGAAGCTCTGTGTCCCTTCTCCCGGACCTGACTCTGGGCATCTCTTCATCTGCCTCATCCTGACTTACAGCCGTTTATCATAAACCGATAGGTAATTTAGGAAGTAAATGTTTCTGAGTTCTGTGAGTCACTCTAGCAAATTACCTGAACCCAAGGAGTTGGTGATTGGAACCTCCGCTTTATAGCAGGTAGTGAGAGTCACAGGTGACAACCTGGATTTGTGATTGGTCTCTGAAGTGGGGGGGCAGTCCTACAGGACTGAGCCCGTACCCTGGAAGATCCAGTGCACTGCAGGGAGATGGTGTAGACGGTGTCAGAGGGGGACACCCTCCTCCCCGACATGGATGGTGTCCGTAGGGGATCTGATGCCGTCTGCAGGGACATGGTGTAGACGGTGTCAGAGGGGATGTCCCCCTGACGTGGATGGTGTCTGTAGGGGATCCGATACCATCTGCAGGGACATGGTGTAGACGGTGTCAGAGGGGATGTCCCCCTGACGTGGATGGTGTCCGTAGGGGATCCAATGCCGTCTGCAGGGACATGGTGTAGACGGTGTCAGAGGGGATGTCCCCCTGACGTGGATGGTGTCCGTAGGGGATCCGATACCGTCTGCAGGGACATGGTGTAGACGGTGTCAGAGGGGATGTCCCCCTGACATGGATGGTGTCTGTAGGGGATCTGATGCCATCTTCAGGGACATGGTGTAGATGGTGTCAGAGGGGATGTCTCCCTGACGTGGATGGTGTCCGTAAGGGATCTGATACCATCTGCAGGGAGATGGTGTAGACGGTGTCAGAGGGAGATGCACCCCCCCTCCTTTGGTTGGTGTCTGTAGGGGATCCGATACCATCTGCAGGGACATGGTGTAGACAGTGTCAGAGGGGGATGCCCCCCCCCGACATGGATGGTGCCTGTAGGGGATCTGATGCCGTCTTAGGGTAGATGGTGTCAGAACTGAGCTGAATTGTAGGACACCCCACTGGTGTTTGAGGTCGGCCGGTAGTGTGATAAACCCCCAGTACACACACTGGATTTGGGTGCAGGAGACTGGAACCTCATAAATGTTCTTGGGAATCCAAACATTTATTTGAATTGTTTAAAGTACAACATCGTACATTAGAACCTGAGTCACGTAAATGTCCCTTTCCTTTGAATCGTGTAGATGATTCAGGGCGTGTGCTGGTGGGAGGAGCAGTGGGTGGTCGATGCAGGTTTCCTCTAGTGGTCCTCAGTTTTCCCCTCTTAATCCTGCCTCACCACGGGTCAGGAGTCTTGTCCCCCACCGGCATCATTCCCCCGTGCTCCTGTCTTCCCAAGCCCACGAAACTCACAGACCTGTCGGGAAAGGTTCTTATCGGTTGACAATTTGTGCAGCTCAAACTGTTCTTCTCCACAAGGCTACTGGGAATCACAAAGCAGGAAAGTCTTGTGGAATTTCTAACCATGCCACTTCCAAAACTAGGGGTTGGGTAAAGGAGAGATCTGAGGCCAGTGGAAAGTTCTGAGATCCTTATTACTAAACCACGTAGATAATCACCTTGCTCTCTAAAAGGAGGTGGTGGGTGGTGATGGGGGAGCGTGAGCTTGACGTGAGATGGCCCTGGGATTGCAGCTCACCCTCACTACTGCTTGAATTGCGTGAAACTGGACACTGTTCTTAGTATTTTTGAACCTCGCGGTTTTTGTGTTTAATATGGGCAGGCTAACATCACTTCCTCGGGGGTCTGCAAACGATGGCCCACAGGCCACATCCGGCCCACCGCCGGTTTTTGTAAATAAAATGGTATTGGCCCACGGCCACACTCCCATGTTTACAGATCATCTGTGGCTGCTTTTGTGCCATCATGAGAGCTCCGTACTTGGGTGAGACCGTGTGGACCCCGAAGCCAGAACTATTCGCCCCCCAGCCCTTGACTGAACAGTTGATTGTGAGCCACTCTAGCAAATTAGTTGAACATAGGAGAGCTGTATGAATAGAAATAGAATGGTGTGGAAGCTCGTCAAGCACACGAAAGAGCACCGGACACACACCTGGAGAAAACATTAGGTGGACAGGCCTTGCTGCAGCAGACGGAAATGTGCCCTGGAGAAACAAGCATGGAACAGTGGAAATCCAGGGAGGTTCGAATAGGGTCTGCTGCTCCCGGAGTTCAAGGTTCAGCTGGAGGAACAGATGGAAGGGGGGAAGAGTGATTGAAAGCTGGGAAAATATGGATATGCTGAGCAGGGTTTGTTTCCGTACATCGTGGGAAATCATCTCTGAGGATGGCAGGTGGGGACTTTGGGAGGACACAGTGTTGTACCCGGCACGGACAAGGAGCGTGGGCTGGTGCATTCTGAGCTAATGGGGTCTGAAACCTAGTGACGAAGGAGCCCAACAGATTGTAGGGATTAAGAATGGCACAAATGGGAAAGATGCAGCTACATTAAAACAGCAAAATAGAAAGAACACTAAAACCAGAGCCAGATCGTGCCACAAACCAGCGCCAGAGAAGAAACAGCCTAGCCTAGGGTGGTGGAAACCAAAGTTTGAATTACCTGATTCGGGAGAATGTTTCCTGGTGTTCTGTTTGATTAGAGACTTCCTCTGAGTGCCATTGCATATGGGACATCTGAGGCTTGGGATCGTTCTGAATCACGTTTACACTGTCCTTGCTTTGCAATAAGTACGTGGTGAATGCAGTGTTCCACTGACCACGGGGGAACGTCATGTTAAGAAATAGCAGTGACTAGGGCGCCTGGGTGGCTCAGTCGGTTAAGCGACTGCCTTCGGCTCAGGTCATGATCCTGGAGTCCCGGGATCGAGTCCCACATCGGGCTCCCTGCTCAGCGGGGAGTCTGCTTCTCCCTCTGACCCTCTTCCCTCTTGTGCTGTCTCTCATTCTCTCTCTCAAATAAATAAATAAAATCTTTAAAAAAAAAAAAAAGAAATAGCAGTGACTATGCATACGTACTCAGTCTCGTCTTTCCTAAAGCATCCCCTCTCCTACTGCAACCGTCCCATCCCGTTCTTATAACTCTTGTTTGCAAGATACTCTTTGGCTGCTTTTCCAAAGAATAGGCACCAGCAGCTTGTGAGACGCAAACAACTCCTTCCCTCCTCCCTGTGCCCTCTCCTTGACTATGGCCTGTGAGCGAGCCTTCAGGAGCACTCTGCACTGTGTGTGGGATCAGCTGCACACCGGTCCTGTGCTATTGCAGGAGCCCCGGGCGCCCGAGCTTTGTATGTATGGCCTCTGGCTCGCTGCCTGACACTTAGGAAGTGGTCACTAAGTACTGATGGGAAAGCATGAATGAGTGAATCAATGCACCCTTCAACTCCATCCCCAATCTAATGTATCATTGCTCTGCATTTGCTGACTCTTAGTATTTCATGTACAAAGTCGATTGAACATTTAGGGCCTTGCTCCGGGCGTTGATGTATAATGCTGGTACGTCTATGAAAAGCTCTCTGTATTGTTCCCAGACCAGGTGGTATTTTCATAGTATTTCACTTACTTTCTTCACAGCTACAAAAAATACATATATAATGAAAAATACCAGCCGTACCTCTTTTTTAAATCAGAGCAGCCTTCCCGCCCAGTGAACGTGTACTGATTACCCATTCTTTCTGACCAGGAAATCACAATGTTGTACTTTGTTGCAGAAGAGCAACTTGGGAAAACCAGAAAGAGCACGATGCACATGCAGCCCCCTTTCCAACGACGACGGCCTGCGCGCCTCCTGGAAATCGGAACCCCCTTCTATCAAGACAACCAACTGCAGGTGAAGGTCTACTGGAAAAAGACCGAAGGTGCGCAAACGCTCTCTGATGATTTGTCATCTGCATCAAGTAGCCCAGTGACATCAGGCGGCTATTGAAAAAGTCAAGGTTGAGCCATGGTGTTGATAGTTTTTTTTAAAGATTTATTTATTTTAGAGAGAGAGAGAGAGAGAGAGAGAACATGAGTGAGGGGAGGGGCAGAGGGAGGGGGAGAATCTCAAGCAGACTCAACGATCAGCACAGAGCCCAATGTGGGGATCAATCTCATGACCCTGAGATCATGATCTGAGCTGAAACCAAGAGGCAGACTATTAACCGACTAGCTACCCAGGTGCTCCCACCACAGTGTTGATATTAAGGAAAATAGAGCCCAAACAAAACATTTAGATCCTTTTTTTTTTTTTTTTTAAATGCCTTGCTGTTGTGAAGTCTGAGTGAGCTGCCCCTTCTTTCCCAGGAATCCGTATCATGTTTGGAAATCAGCATCGGTCAGCCAGTTGCGTTTTATTGTCTCAGGGATGTTAGCCTGTCTTCACTGCTTTCCCAGAAGGCCAATCTTGTCTCCAAAATAATCAAGATACTCATTATTCTACACTGTAAATTTTTGTTCTAAATTAGTTTTTTGTTTAAAAAAAGATGCAGAGGAGCGCCTGGGTGGCTCAGTCGTTAAGCGTCTGCCTTCGGCTCAGGTCATGATTCCGGGGTCCTGGGATTGAGCCCCGCATCGGGCTCCCTGCTCAGCAGGAAGCCTGCTTCTCCCTCTCCCTCTGCCTGCCGCTCACCTTGCTTGTGCTCTCTCTTTCTCTCTCAAATAAATAAAATCTTTTAAAAAAAAGATGCACAACCCCAATAATTTGGAAAATAGAGAAAGAAGTCACTTCAGTATTATCTCCTAGAAACAGCGTTTTGGCGGATGTCCTTTCGAAAGTTTCCTACACTTCTGTTCTTCCCTCATTTGTTTTTATTCACACAGATATATAATAGTTTTATGTAGAACATACACACTTTCATATAACATGGGAGCATTCTGCATTATCCTGTATTTCTGGTGCCGTGTTTAAGTCACTGCTGTGTAGGGACATACAACAATATCCTAAAACACTGTCATTCCACTACAGCCAAACTCTTGGATGCCTTCAGAGTTTCCATTTTACAAATAATACTGCAAGGAAGATTTATCCTTAGAATTAATTCTGTTTGTTTTGAGTATCTGTTTGAATAGTTGTCTTTAGGATAAATTCATTTCCTTTGGTTTTCTTTATTAAGACTTTTTTTTGCATTATTGAAATAGTATTTTTGGAATTATTTGATCTACATTTCCATGTTTGTCACTCATATGCCTTTTGAAAACAAAAGAAAAATAGATTGTTTTAAGAGTTCGTTTTTAACAGTTCTTCCAGTTCTTCTGAAGTGCGGTGTTACTCAGGCCGTGTGCCACACAGAATATTGGTGTAGGTAGGGCGCCTGGGTGGCTCAGTCGGTTGAGCGTCTGACTCTTGATCTTAGTTCAGGTCTTGATCTCAGGGTTGTGAATTCAGACCCCATGGTGGGATCCATGCCGGGCATGGAACCTACGTGTAAAAAAAAAAAAAAAAAGGGATATTGGTGTTGGAGTTCTTCTTGTTCCAGAATTTTCTTCCAAGCTGCTGACATCCATTCTGCAGCTAAAATAATATTACAATGAATATTAATGTTTTATTACTCTCATATATTAATTAAAACTAAATTGTATTCAGTGTTGTTTATTAAATTAAAAATTATTCATTAATATATAGTCCTATTCCTAAGTTTAATAGGTTTTAGAATAAATATTAAATTACAAAATTTATTTAATCTATTATATTTACCAATTTTAGATTAGAACTGTGTATCATTGATATATCAATAGTAAAACATTGCCATAATATTGAAAATATAAACATCTTCTATAATGAAATAGAAATATAAATATTGAGAATACATCTTAAGCATACAAGAGCAAGCACTGTCATCATGACTTCTAAATGTGAAGGTTGGTTTTGCCGATATTTTTTTTTTTAATTTTTTTTTTTAAGATTTTATTTATTTGTGAGAGAGAGAATGAGAGACAGAGAGCATGAGAAGGAGGAGGGTCAGAGGGAGAAGCAGACTCCCTGCTGAGCAGGGAGCCCGATGTGGGACTCGATCCTGGGACTCCAGGATCATGACCTGAGCCGAAGGCAGTCGCTTAACCAACTGAGCCACCCAGGCGCCCCAAGTTTTGCCGATATTTGAAATGTATACAACTTGGACCCATACGGTGTGTACTGGGCTTCTTGCAGTGAACACGATACAGGAAATGGGAAACGAACACATTCTGTTGCAGGACGCACTAATTCATCCATGTCTCGTGCTGCTCCTAGCCCCTGGTAGAGCTCCGCTGATGGCTCTTTTCAGCCGGTGCTGGGGGATTTGGTTTGTCCCGCTGATGGGTTCTGCAGCACAGTGCTGCTGTGAACACAGGCCTTTGATGTACATATTCTCCTGGACGAGGGGGGACTCTTGGGTGATTCAAGCATGCGGAGCTTTGGAAGACACCGAGGGTTTCCCACAGTGGTTGCACCAGCCATTCCCACTTGCAGGGCACGATCGTCCCAGTGCGCCCCCCTCTCTCTGCCGTGTGGAATTCCCATCTTTTTGACTTGAGCTGTTCTGGCACCCACGTCTTGATAACTCCGCGTTGTCTGAGCTTCCGTTTTTAAGCTGTTCAGGCAGGCTGTCCTTCCTGCAAGAGGCCTGTACACATTGAGTATATGAGTCACCTGCTGGTTCCCTGGTTTTGGTGTTTTTTCCCTGTGTGACCTACTCTTACCTTCCTCCCTTTCTCAGTGGTTCTGAGTTTTAGAGGGGGGGATCCATTCATCACTTTGTTTCCTTTAGGTGAGAGCTCTTGCTGTCCTGGTTGAGGATCTTTGCTTATACAGGGTCACAAAGATCCTCCCGTCATCTCCTAGAAGTTAGACCGCTTCACCTTTCTCTCTTAGGCTGACTTCCACCTGGAACGGACTTTACTCGTAGGGCTCACTGTTCTTTTACTCTTCTCTCCCTCCTGATCTGCAGCTGACACAGCATCATTTATTTAAAGATGACTCCTTCCCCAAAGCTCTGGGCTGCTACCCTGGCCCTACATCAAAAGTATGGGCAAGTTAACTTTTTAACTTTCTGTACAGTCATTGGGCATATTTTTCCAACTTTCTGGCACTACCTTATTGTCTTAACTACCATAGATTTGTAAATATTTTTAATCATAGTTCTTCAGTTGTTTTTTTTTAACTTCATTTTCAAATCGTCTTGACTCTTCTTGGCCCTTGTATTTTTATATTAATATTTGCATTAATTTGCCAATTTCCACAAAAACTTTGTAAGATCTTTGTTGAGATTACAATCAATCTATATGGTAATGACTGCAAAATTCACATCTTAAAAATCTGCACTTGACGCATAACTTTATTCAGGTTTTTAAAATTTTCTCTGAACAGTGATTTATAATATATAATGCAGAGGCTATAATACTTTTAATATGATGATTCTAAGGTGTTTGTGTTTATTTTGATCCCATTACATACATGCATACTTTTCCTCAGTTTTATTTTCTTTTTTTAAATTTAATTTAATTTTATTATGTTAGTCACCATACATCATTAGTTTTTGATGTAGTGATCCACGATTCATTGTTTTCATATAACACCCAGTGCTCCATGCAGTACATACCCTCTTTAATACCCATCACCAGGCTAACCCATCCCCCCACCTCCCTCCCCCCTAAAACCCTCAGTTTGTTTCTGAAAGTCCATAGTCTCTCATGGTTCGTCTCTCCCTCCAATTTCCCCCGCCTTCATTTTTCCCCTCCTTCTCCTAATGTCCTCCATGGTATTCTTTATGTTCCACAAATAAGTGAAACCATATGATAATTGACTTTTTCTGCTTGACTTATTTC